CCACGTTCATTTCAGAAAACAATTTCTAGTCATTCTCATTGACACAACACTTTCCTCCTGAGTAATAAACTAAGCTCCAGCAGGTAGAAATCAGATTTTACTCAACCCCATTACAGATAATCATCAATCCATTTCGTTATTATTTTTTTTATTAAGAGAACCGGAGGGGACAAAAAACTACTCACTGTATTAGTATGAAGAAGTCGATGAAGCGAAAACCGAAAGGCTGTGCCCTGGTTGTTGGATGCTTCAGCAGTAGTTTTTGCGGTCTTCAGACGTCGGAGCAGGCGAGCGGAACCACCGCCTCCGAATGACGGCAGTTATAGTTCGGGAAAGAAGAGTCCAGCTGACCAGGAGAACTTTGCCATGCCGGTGAATTAGTTCGAGGACCAAAAAAAAAAAAAACCGCGTAATTTGATCACCGCCTGTTTTTTTTTGGGGGGGGGGGGGCTATTTCACTTATTTTTGAACCAAATTTCACAAAACTTTTTGAGGATTAGCTAATTAACAAAAAATGTGCTTTACAAAACATTGTTTTTTTAATTTTAAATTTGTGTACATTTGTTTTTCTTAATACTACTACCTCTGTTCCTAATTAAAAAACGTTATTTGTATATTATAATCAAATCTTATAATTAGAACAGACATAGTATTTTTTATCCAATTAAGCAAACTCTTGGACTAATGAGTGGTCTACTCAAGCATAGCATGCGGTTACCGAAGTTTCGTCTATTCCCGAATTCTTTGAAGATGAGTGTTTTCAAGTAATTGGGATGCAAGAAGAAGCCTTTGCCTGCCACTGCAAATCACGTTCAAAAAGAACAAAACGCAGAAGCAACTTTTTTTTTTTTTTAACTGAAAAGCAACTGTGTTTTCGGGGGTATTTGGGATATTCCTAGAAATGTTTTTTAAAAGTATTTTTTCATAAATTAAAATAAATTCCTTCCTATATTTACTTCTTTTGTAAACATGAGTTTGTGGTGGCTTTAACACATACTCAGTAACTGTACAAACATTCATGTGATCCCTGTTTTCCATTTCTATAATTAAAAAGTGTTGGTCACCATTTACGGAACAAGAAGAAGACAGTACATCATATCGAGAATGAGGATAAACAAATTCCTTTTGTTGCTGGTGAGATTGAGAATGATTAAACAGTCATATGGTTTGTTTGGGATTGACGTAGGTAGGTTGAGAAATAACTTTTCAATTATGATTTGTAAAATATAAAATAAATATATAAATATGTAAAAAGTTTTTTGTCTCGACTTACGTAAAAATATTTACAAGAATTAAAATAAACAAATGCAAATAAGCCCATAATTGATATGCAAAAGATAAGAAATGAAAGTATGATCACAGGTGCAACAATTTTCTTGGATGCAACACAAACACGACTTTTAGAAGACAATATTAGAACACCTAAATGAGAGGATAAGTAGCTTAATGGGGATCAGAGCATGCCTCAGCGGGATCTGGAACAATTGGAAAACTTGAAGAAAGGAGAAGCATGAATCTCTCTACTCTGCTTTACAGCATGAAGCTACTAATGGGAACAAGATAAGGAGTTAACTTACTAAAGATGGTTTGCTTTTAGACGGTACCCAAAGATGGAGAATAAATTATTGAACCAGTATAGGCTTCGAATTCTATCTTTTTGGCGGGAGAATTTCACAAAAAAAACTTAAAATTACTAAATTTTAAATAAAATTTTTCATATAAATATATTTTTATTTACAAGTTTAGTATTGTCAAAACTTATTAAAATATTATTATCAAATCTGATTTGAGATTTAATAATTTCAATTCTTTCTTTCAGTACCTAATGGAGGTACTGATTATTCAAGGCCCTAGCAGAGGCAGTTTGGATAACTTTCAGGGGCGTTCTCAAATTTAAAATACTGTCGTAAATAATTGAAGAATTAAGAATTTATCACTTGTTCTTTTATTAATTATAAATTAATCTTCTCAATATTACGGCTTCGAATATCAATTCGCTACAAACAAACAAATAAAACTAAATGAGGTAGACTGTATCTAAGCAATTTTGGGGAGAAAAAAATGCGAATCAGAAGAAGCAAAATGAGCCTTTAGAACATCACTATTTTTATAGTAATATGGGGGAAGCCCAACTTGGAATCAACATGTAATTCTTTCAGCATCTCGTCAGAGGCAAATGCAAACTGCAAACAAAAAGAGCAGTCTTTGCAGCAGTGGCATCAATTTGACAATGTCGCTTCCACCTTATCGTGATCAATAATGGGCTTAATTTGTAGTAGATAGACAACAAAAGGACACACAGAACTCGCAAAAGGATACATAAAAATCAGGGTCGGAACTGATCCGCAAGTTTCATGAGACTATAAGTTTCAGAATCTGGCCTAGCTCCTCCAAGAATCATCCTTCTCAAAAGATTTGGTTCATAAATCCTGGCTTTTACATAAGCCTTAATCAAGGTATTATATACAAATGTGTATCTACAGTACCTAGCCTTATGAAGTTCTTCAAACAATCTCTCAACATTTCTTACATCACCTTTCTCAGCAAAAATATCAATAATTGAAAGAGTGGTTTCTAGCCAGGGAGTTGAACTTCTGACTTTCTTGCTAACTGTGAAACGCATGCCCAACTCTAATGTCTTCAAGGCTTGCTCCGTGATCCCTGCTTTCGAGCAGCCCAAAACAAGCTGACGATAAGTTATGGCATTTGGTTTGCATCCATTTGCTTCCATACACTTGTAAAGTCTAGTAGCTTTATCAATAAATCCGTGTTTGCAAAATACAGACATCATGCAATTGAATTGCTCTATAGACTTCAATCCTTTTCTTGACTTCATTTCTAACCACAGTTCTTCAACTCGATTTAGATTTCCAATTCTACCAAATGCTTCAATGGCCAACATATAACTTTTAGATCTAACCAATGGTTGTTCTTGAATGATGCCCCAGGTCCTCTCTAGCTCCTTCTGCTTCCCCAAATACCCATACAATATAAGTAGCACATCCAATGTTGACCAGTTCTTCCCTGTGGCCGACTTCTCAACAGCTTCAACATATGCTTCTGCTGCAGTATATAACCTAGCCACTGCATGTGCAGTAGCTAAAATGCAATAAGATATTTCATTTGGTTCAACCTTTGCTTGGTTCATTTGACTGAAGACCTTCACCAAACCTTCAATATTATGCTCATTAGCTTCTATTTTCATCAGAATATTGTAGGTGGAAACATGAGGGGTAACCTTATCAGATCTCATTTGAGCAAGTATTTTTGGGATCATTTTCCTGCGGCTCGGTGAGGAGTGTAAAATTATAAGGCGGTTGAATGCCAAGTGTGAGATGGGATAACATAATTCCCTCATTTTTTTCATGTACTCAAGCGAAAGCCTAATCACCCCCTTGTCCAAGCACGCAATCACTAGATTGTTGTAGAGCAACTCATTATGATATTCAGGAGGAATACGAGAGAAGAGCTTCTCACCATGTGATATTCCATGAAGCTTTGTTGTAAATTCCAAGAGATAAGAGTAATCTAGTTCCCTGGGCCTGTAAGGTCTTTCTCTGATCACCCATTCCATCACCTATCATTAGCCATGCAATGGGGGAAAAAGGGAGCACCTATCTTTATCAGCATCTTAAATCAACTAAAGCTAAAAGTATCAAACAATGGAGTCAGTACATAAGTGTAAATTCTTCATTTTTCAAGACTACTAAGTTCTTCACCATTTGAACACTCTTTACTAGCTTTATCATATTCTGCTTCAATCCATACAGTAACAGTATACGCAACCTCCTGAGACGGAAAGTACCCTTTGCTCTCCTATCAAAATGATAGGTTCGAAATCCAATAAATTAAAATGAAATCGTTCATAGTGAGGCTTTCCCCTGACTTAAACACCTATCAAAGTAAAATTAAATTAAAAACTAGAGCTACCAAATAAAGCGCAACAGCAAATCTAGTAGTCACAGACAGCAAAAATACAAAGGAATAAGGGATGTCACCTCAAGTGCACGTTTGTTCATCTTGAGCTTCCGTAGACGATTAATGGCATGAAAAATGTCCCCTCTGTGAATAGGGAACCCATCTCCCATCCATCTCTGGAAAACAGACCCAACTGATTCTCCTTTGGAGAGTTTCTCAATTCTGTAAGATAAGCACCTAGGGTTATCTAGGGTTTTGGAATTGTCTTCAGGAAAAATTTCTGCTGTATGGGTGGACAGGAATTTGAATTTGAGATGGATCTGAGTGACACTCAAAGCAGAAGCACAAGGAGTTCGATGAATTGCTTGAATGAGCCCCTCTTGTACAATGGTTCCCAGTATTCGCATGTTTCCCCAACAGAACACTGAGGGAGTGAGTAGGTAAGATATGCAGGTGAGGGCAATATCATATATGCCTACATCCCAACAACACCACATGATTGAGTAAATTTTCTGTTTTTAGTTTTCTTGGTGGTCACATGTCAACAAAATTGCTCAGACAGTGATTCATTCAAGATGACGGTATTGAGCATTTCCAAATCAACACTAAACAAGTAAAATTGTAAACCAATTTATAACCTTCAATCCATTGACCATGACAGCTGGGCGACCACATTGGCCGCTTGTCTCATCATTTAGGCTGGACTAGCCCATAGATTTATCGAAAAAGAGTAACATTTAAAAACAATAAAAAAGAAAGAAAGAAGTGTAAAGATAAGATTTGGATGAATGGGAATAATAGAAATAATGATCCTGTGTCATGTCATTGCATTAAGAATTAAGAATATTTAAGAGCTAAATGCCAGAACATAACACGATCGACTTAATGAAAAAAATAAGTCCTCTTGTCTCCTTTTTAAGTTCTCAAAAACCGATCCACTATAAATATCGACTAAGCTCCGGTGACGACTGTCTGAATACGATATCATAAATAAGCAACACAACCAAGAAGGAAACCCAGTGAAGGGGTAGTGGGGACAAGTTATAAAAGTGACCCAACCCTCAAAACACATGTTCACTAAACCAGATAATTAGCAGGAAGCATATGTCAGTGAACCTAAATGCCACAAAAACATCCCTTCAAAATAACGTCGTTTAATACCCTCAAAGCATAGTTAGCATCAGAATGAAACTCCTTCATTTGAATCACTCAATCCACAGTATACTTTTCTTACCACTCTCCTATATCTAGGCATGATTTTCCTATAAGAAATGAAAAATAAGAAAGAAGAAAAGAAAATATTGCTCTCCAGGAGCCAACAGAGAAAAGGTGCGTTCACTTTTCATAGCGAATAATGCTGTACAGATGTTTTACCAAAACAATTATTGGAACACACCTCCGGTCCAAAAAGGAAATCTGACTGTAACACACTGACTGAACCAAAAAAACACCAGTGACGAGGAACCTAGACAAGTACAGATCATTAATTGACACCAAAGAGTAAAGACGAGGAAGAAATACTTAAATTTGATATCCTTTCCAATATGTTATAGTTCTGCTATGCATGAGTAGCGGACAGTCACAAGGAAAGAAGAGAAGGAAGAGGAAGACGACACTGACCAGATGACGACCTCAGATGATGAGCCAGTGCAGTGGAGCGACCACGAGGATAGAAGAGAAGAAAAAGTGGAACCCCGCAGAAGGGAAGACGATGTGCATAAGCATAAAGGGGTCAGCGGAGACTGGCACAATCCGATGCGCGGTTCCGGGAAATTAATTTTGGGTAAAAGACATATAAGGAACCCTAAAAGTATTAATTAAAATTAAATACCTTAAATTTTGAGATTTTTAATTTTTTTTTCAGCTTTCGTTTTTAATATTTTTAGTATTGACAGAAATTTAAAATTAATTCTAAAAATAAAAAAATAACACCTCCCGTTTTTAATAAAAAATTCGTTTGACTTTTATTTTGACCCTAAATACAAAATTTCAACCCATTTTTTTTAAGATAGTTTTTGTAATAATAGTAGTTCTAGCCAATATACTTGATTAGTAAAGATATTTTAGAAAATACAATACATATTTATTACAAATAACTAACTTAACTAATTTTATTAGTCTACTCAAATTAATCAACTAGTTCTTATATTAAAAACTGAAAGTAGTATTAATGATAAGTGTTGAAAGTGAACCCAACGCCCTTTCTAAAATTTTGTCGAAAAAACAAAAGATAAGTGCTGAAATTTTTTTAAAAAATAAATACTAAAAATATTATAAATGAGTCCTGGCAATAATCAAATCTAAAATTTTGATGCCAAACAACCATGGTTTTTTTCAATTAATAATTTTAGGAAGTCCTTAAATATTATTATTTCTTATTAATTTTCTCTTCAAAATCTTCGCCCAACTCTTCCCAGAAAGTTCTGGAGAGTCGTTTAGTCTTTATTTTTTACCACACACTTTAGAGAGAAGAAATTTTTTTATCTTATTTATATAATAGAGAGAGAAATATTTTACATGAATGTATAAGTTTATTTTTAATTTATTATTACGTTAACTCTGTTTTTATAGGTATCACATATATTAAATAGAAATAAAGTTAGAAAATTGTTAAATTTTAAATAAAAGTAAATGAAATTCAAGATTTTTCTTAATGCATGTGTAAAATATATTGGAAGTAACTTATAAATAGAACTAAAAATATATTTATGTTTTGTTCCCTTTTATTTTCTTTTCTTATCTAAATCAAATATAAGAGGAAAATTATTCCCTCTCAGAATTTAATTACTGGATGATAATTTTTAGGGAAACATGCAAAGGCTTACTGTGCCTTTTTTAAATTTCTTAATATGAAATGAGGGCCAAGTCCGAAAACTAACAAGAGTTTCACATATAAGAGGGAAAATCGAGTGCACAATAATATAATATTTCCATGCTCCTCCAATTCATTTAATGTTATTAAAAAAAAGTTTATATGAAAAGGTTTAGGTGATATCAACTTCAAGAATTCACCAAAATTAAGACTCTGAACTTATGTTTAGTATGAGAAAAATATAGAGAAGAAAAATTTTAATAAGCTCAATTTAAAAAATAGAAAAAGTGAGATTTTAAAATTTTAATAAAAAATATAATATAAAATAGTAATTAAAAATTAATTAAAAGTTTTTAATCTTATTTCTTCAATTTGTTAAAATCAACTCATTCAAACTTTTTCCTCTCCTCCCCTCTCCTTCATTTCTCTCGTACCCAACGAACCCTTAAATTTTCACCTCCGATACATAAACTTCTCATGTTATCCCCTCCAATGCAAATTAAAAGCATTCTTAGACAAATTAGAATGTCAAATTAGACCACATTTACAAGAAAGCCAATAGACATGCGAATTGGTTGGCAAAAAAGGCTCACAGTTTAGACAATAAGTTCACCAATCAATCCATTACGGTGCAAGAAATTGATCGATTGGGATAAGTAGGGTGTACAATGATCTTTGTTTTTTGTTTTTTTCTTTCGTAATTATATGGTTCTTCCACAGTCCTACAATGATGATGAGGAAGGAATGAAAACACTATTGCTTCACCATGGCATAAACGGAGTCACTTAGAGTTCATGCACTGTTTCTTTGGATCTTCTTGTTCTTATTCCAAAAGTTTGCAAACGTGATCGCAGTTGGCCGGCACCATCATCCATGTAAACCAATTTTTCATTATGTCTTGCACCCCTCGTGGAAAAAGGTTGCCATTGCATGCCAAAAAGTAGCAATTTAGCACAGTAGGAACAGACCAAGAGACAACGCTGAGAATTTTACAAAACCAAAAATCCTAGAAAATAATCCTCGTCTGCCTCGCCGATATCCTCCTTATCTTCAAGAAATCTTATTGCTTTGAAAAGGCTTTGTTGATTTCAAACGTCTACATTCTTCTAAATTCACCTTCTAATTTCTACATTCTCGTTTTTGCCCCTCTTTTGATTGAGGTGGCGATTGCCTTGGCTGCTTCACATCAAATGTTAATACGGCGACGTTTCTGATGGTACCACTAGCGGAACAGAATTGAATCACTGATCATCAAACTATAAGGCATAATATCGGGAAAAACCAGAGTGGAACCTCAATGCACCTTACGCACATAACATCTGGACTAGTGAAAAGAAATGACATCTTATCATTTTAGATTTGATCTCCCCCCAAAATATTAAAAATCACAAATACAAAATACTGATAAATGAGATGGAACCTTTAAAATTATTTGAAAACTCTTCTAACCATGGCACAGTTACAGAAACTTTTCTGGGTTGAAACTATTCCGGTTTCAAATAAACGATAACCATGACAAAATCAATCAATACATATAATAAAATATATAACAAGTATTTTTTTCAAAATCCATGAATAATGTATCTGATTTGATGACAGATAAGAAACGTAGAAGCAACACAGTGCGTGATGCCATTGGTAACTTGGACTGAGATAGATACTAGAAGCTACGATCAAATGTGATGTTTGCTGGAGATGATATTACATGTATTTTACTATATGTTATCTTTACCTAACCATCTTTATGCTCACCGAACACTGATACAACAATAGGAGTCAACCTAACAGTTTTACTATTATACAAGAATAAATAAAAAATTATGCAAACAAACCATCATCTTTGGAGCTGCTCGGATGTGGAAGTGTTGGTGACGGACGGTGATGCAGCTGTCCTACCATTTGGCGTCCCATTATCAACAGGTGCTCTAACTCCCCACCTACCCTCAGAATCCAAGGGCTCTAAAACTTTAATGGATCCATCCGTCAGCCCAACAGCAAATTGATTTGGCTCTTGTGGATGAGCCGTAACAACATGAGGATACACATTTTGGCTGCAGTGGGGGCCCAAAAAAAAAAGTTGAGAATTTGTGGAAAAAAACAACAAATCAAGGAAAGGAACAGAAGAATGTTACTTCTTCTATCACCTATTTATCATCAACATGATACTTATCAATTACAATACATTTGATGCACTGTAACGTCACATTTATTGAATATCGTCCTATTACAAATGCACATATTTGGTATGTATAAAAAATTGTCACGGAAAGTATGCAACTAGTTCCACATAGGGGTTAACATAGCTGAAAGGGATGTAACACAATTATGTGGCTTTTGATTGATACAAGATACCCCCTAATGACCCACAATATCTTGGATGCACCCCTCATCTTAGATATCATTGCACTAAACAGAGGCATTTTAAATCTTCACCAACAAACAAGATGTCAGGATCAAGATAATAATATATCCGATGACTCTAGTAACTTTTAAGCACATGTTCGACCCAGAAAAATATTTAAGCATGTGCACAAATTTGTGGAGTTATAAGTAGCACTAGCACCACTTATATATCATCAATAGAAATGTCCAACAAAAAGATACCACTAAGACAAACACACGGTGAAATCTTGTATACACCTGTTTGATGACTGAGATAAGTAAGCCGAGGAGGCTATCCGACATCTGAGTCTCAAGTTGTCAGCATCAAAAACTCCAATATTTCCATCAGTGAAAGCAGCATAAATTAGTTGGCTATTGCAGGAATATGTTGCAGAGGCTATGGAACCAGACAATGAATCTTGAGGCACCCACTGAAAAGCAAGTACACAAAAGCTATTAATATATTCATGATGACCCACAAAAAAAGGCTGGGGCTAGCTATTTACCTGTCGAATTAATTCAATTTTTGAAGCATCATATATTGCTAGTTGTGTCTCATGGCATACTAGCAAGTGTACTTGATCAGAATGGAACTGCACTCGAGTATCACCAGCAGGTGCCTTACCAGTAGGCAATGGGATTGATAACAATTTCTTCTTATCCCATGCGTCAATGCTCCAAAAGCAAATCTACGCAAAAAAAGCAAAAAGAAAATCCATCAAAACAACTAAAAGTCCTCCTTTCTTTAATCAAATTGAAAATTGTAAATCACGTCACTGTAAATTTTATTCCAATAATTACTTAAAGCTAGATAACCATGAATAAGCAAAAACACGATGCAGTTACAGGCTAATAGTGGGGTAAAATGATGATGAAAATTACGGCCAAACATACCTGAGCATCAGCACCGGATGAAACCAAGATATTCAAGTTAGTTGAGAAAGCTAAACCAGTAATCCGCTTCTGGTGACCTTTCAATTTAGATTTGACCTACAAGCAAAGCAGATTGCATCAATAACTGTTTGACAAAGAAATGAAAACCAGAACTGCTTAAAACTACTTACCTCATCAACCCTGACATTGTATATATGAATAGTTGAATCTTCCATTCCGATTGCAAGGATGTTATTATCTTGGGGGTGAAATACAAGGAAAGTTGAAGCAGGAGGAGGGGGCATAAAAGTTGTCATAACCTGCAACTCAACAATATTGTCAAGCTGAGATACAGCTTGCCACCCAGTACTGCAGGCTTTGAAATCATAAAAACTGTCAAATTACCTTAAAAGTCATCATGTTGAACAGAGAAATTTTTCCTCCACATGCAGACATAACGTAAGAATCATTCTTTGAAAGTGCTATGCAGGGAACTGCTTCCTCAGAATTGTCAGGGACATCGTTGGTCATCAGAAGACCACTGTTTGGCTGCCAATGTTGTGGAGTAACACTTGCCGTGGCCTTTTAAGAACAACCAAAAGAGATTCAGAAAATTTTACAAGTAAAATTTGAGGCGGCTATAACAAAAATATAGATGCAC